GTAGGAACAACAAATTGGTTTAGAAAACATCCACTTTGAACCTAAATTGACTGGAGTAACATCGATCTACAGACAAATTCAAGGTCACTAGCAGTCGTCGGCGCTCTACGAATCTGCACAGGTTTGGACTTGTAAACGTGATTGTAGATGACACGACAGGCATCTAACAGTTAATTCACGCACAGGATTGCATTGCATACGCATTACGCATTCAGTAGCGTATACTCGTTTTTCGCGAGTGGAACGTTTTGTTTATATATTGCCTAAGATACGATGTCTGACACAGATACAGCCGACGAAGTGGTTGACAATCAGCGCAACCCCACCCAAAAAAGGGCTAAGAAGCTACATTTAAGTGCAAATGAAAACAAATAATATTAAATATATACAAAACCAAATTCAAGAAAAAACCCGATTTGGTCGTGGCGAAGTTATATGTAGCACATATTTCTGGAGTATGTCGGTCCAGTGTTTATAGGATCATTAAGGAATATAGGAGCACTCACTCACTTTCTGAGCCAAAACCGTATCCTGCAAGAAAAAGGATAACGGACGGAGTAGATGACTTTGACAGAACTGCCATCAGGAGGAAAGTGCATAATTTTTTTCTTCCGAAATGAGATACCTACAGTAGATAAGATATTAAGATTAGTTAATGCTGATGAGGATCTTCCATCATTTAAAAGAACCACATTCGAAAACTTTTGAAGGAACTTAATTTTCGATTCTTGAAACGGGGAAGAAACAGTATGTTAGTAGAGAAAGAAAGAAATTGTTGTGTGGAGAGGGAATACCTTAGGAAGATTCGGAAGTTTCGCGATGAAAAAAGAAAAATTTACTATTTGGACGAAACGTGGGTGACTGCTGGACATACTCAAGCGAAAGTTTGGGTCGACAAATCAGTAAACATCATCAAGGCAGGCTTTTCTAGACGGTCTTTCGGCTGGATTGAAAATCCTGCAGGTAAGCTCCTTCATCTATCCGGCAATTTAATTTGATAAATTCGGGCAAATAATATGCTGTGATAGCAGATAATGTGTGATATTCTCCAAAAATGGTGCATTCGCAGTGTAGTCATTAGGAAAAAAACTTCGAACCCTCTTTTAAGCGTTATTTTGAAATTTATTATCATTTTTGGGTGCAGTCAATTTGCTTTGAATGGGTTTTGAGAAGTTGCAAACTTCAATTTTCTACGTTTTTCAGTTTTTGATCAGCATTCCGTGACTCTAAATTCAGCTAAATGAACTCAATTGCCTCATTCCTTCAAATTTAATCAATCCATAGTGTAAGGAATAATTTATTCCAGGAAAAGGCAAACGGCTGATCATTTGTCACGTAGGTAGTGAGACGGCTTTGTTCCCGAAGCACTGTGGGCCTTTGAATCAAAAAAGACAGGGGACTATCATGAGGAGATGGACGGCAATTCTTTGAAAATTGGTTCTCCAAAATGTTACTAAAGCTGGAGAATAACGCTGTTATTGTACTGGATAATGCCCCGTACCATTCTAGAAAAATAGAAAAAATTCCCACAATGGCAACTAAAAAAGCAAACATACAACAATGGCTGGCCTCAAAACAGATCGATTTTGATGAAACAATGGTCAAGGGTGAATTGATAAGTATAGTCATAGACATAAATACAAATACGATTTTAAAATGATCGACGAAATGGCCAAAAAACAAAATAAAACTGTCTTGAGACTGCCACCCTACCATTGTGAGCTGAAACCCTATTGAGCTGATGTTGGGCCAACATAAAGCAATACGTGGCGTCGAATAATAATACTTATAAATTTTCTGATGTTAAAAATCTCTTTCACATCGCAGTCAATAGAGTTACGGCAGAGGAATGGAAAAACTGTATCCGCCACGTTCGGGAGAAGGTTGAGGTCAAAATGTGGGATTGGACAATGTCATCGATACCCAAATTGAACCTCTAATAATTCATTTAAACGATTCAGAAGATTCAAGTTCCTCTTCTGAATGAGTGCGCGCAGCTTACTTACTAATAACTAAAAAGTGTAGTTAACTCATTGTGAATCTCTAACTGAAATTTACTGTAAAAGATAATAATTATCTTGTATGAAATTTTTGATGACTACCCATAATATCTTGATGCGGTCCTGTAATGTCTCCTGCGCCTAAACACTCACTCACGAGCAATATGCGTGTATTTGTTTGGGTTTAGTTTCTTTTCTTCAGCGCCTAGAGAATAGAAACCGGATGGACGGCGCTAATCACAAGGGCATCGGGACGGTGTTAGCCGTACCGTTGGAATGATAATCATCAGGATTCCATAACTTATACCAGTCGCGGATGGAGCTTCATTCCGACCAATAGTCTTCTCAATTTTCATAAAGTTTCTGCAACACATCACTCACTTTGAAAATAGTTTTTCAATATTTCCCACCTTTGCTCAAGATAAAAACGATCAATTGCTCACAGCAGAAGTTTAACACAATATCTCTGTCATATCCTCAGCATGGAAGCGTTACCAAATGTCAAAATAATACCAACTGATGATCCACCCTTTATAAGGAATTAAAAACAATTTGGTCGCAAGTAATTTTTTTCGTGGTATCGTTATATTGTGCTTCCTAATGATAAGTTTATATTGGCGTCAAGATAGAGCTGGAGCATTTTCCGCCATTTTGATTAACGCGTTTGGTCGAATGCGAGGGAATTAAATTCCTCATCATCTTGCTTCATTAATTAAATGTGTCATATAGTCATGAGATTCCGAGAAATCATTAAACCCAGACACCAACTCAGATTCCCCTTCGACAAATCAAAAGGAGTTCGATTAGTTTCAACCAACTTGAAACTAACCACATCAAAGATAAAGGTAACAACAAAAAATAAATCAAATTTTATTCTGATATTTATAAAATCTAAAATAAAATAAAATTAAAGCTAAACTTACTTCATATGAAATTGTATGAGCCACAGCACGTAACCTCCCTAACAAAGCACAATTTGAATTAGAAGCCCAACCTGCTAATATTACAGTATAAACACCTAACCTCTAAATTCTCAAAAAACAAATAATATGGATAAATTAAATCTTAAATTTACAGAAAAAAAGGTATACAAATCCACAAAAACAAAGATAAAATATTTATAACAGGAGGGAAAATAATACAAATTGAAATTTGATATTAAAGGCAAGGTCTGCTCTTTAGTAAATATCTTAATTGCATCCGTAAACGGTTTGAACCAACCCCACATCCCAACTTTATTTGGCCCTTTACGAATATCTCCATTTTGTATACATATTTATTATTTTTTTACTTTGTCTCATGTTTTGAATCAAGCTTTAATTGCTAATTTCATTAAATTGGTGATATTTCATTTCTTAGCATTTGCTTTTTTTGTGTATCTGCGTTTTAAACAACATTCACCTCATTTGGTATTTTTCTAGTTTGTCCGAATTCATTTTTCGTATTTTGCAGCCCTGAAGAAGTCAAATAAATGCAGATTTATAAGCATCATTAACACATTAACAAATTTTGAAATAAAGGTCTTCATAATTGTTGCAGAGGTCGGATTATAGAAGAAAAGGCAGATCGTTATCCGATGGGCTAATACCAAAGACGTTGCCGGAACCACTTAATGCTGAAGCATTTCCAAGCTTACCTAATGAAGTTTTGGAGAAATTAGGACTTCACGGTGATAAGCCCAGGTATGTACTTTACGACAACGTGATTCAAGAAATAGTAGCAGCATGTCTAGAGCAGAAAGTATCTCTAAAAATGACACAAAACGTTTCTATAGACATATGACGAACTTGTTTAAAAACAGTCTGAAAATTGAAAATTGCATACTCTAAAAAATGCAGTACTTATTTCAAAGAAGCTTTGAATATTATTTTCCTTTTCCTTTTGTATGGATTAAAATACCTATAAAAATTTTTGAATAAGTATCTTGATCTATTTCGACCAGATTCTTTATTAACACCCAAATAGTTAACTTGTCTATTAAGTAACACTGGAGTTTTATTCATTATTCACTTATTTGTTTGTTTTTATACTTAATTGTCGAAAAAAGTCGCCAAAAACAAAAAAAAACGACCAAAATGTCATCTTGAAAACCACCTAGTTTTCAGCGGGTTTTCTTTCCGCGTTTGCTCGCTATGCTTGCTGTGAGCGACATCAAAAGCGCCGTCTATGGATGAATGACTCGACGATACGACCGCGCTCAATTGTTGTTGCAGAAAGCTAAGTAGTGTTTATCTCTGCGAAGATAAGAAGAAAGTTCGTTGAGTAGCAAGATCGCATCTGGATTATTACGTGTATTGATCTGCATGTATATAAAAATCAGTAATATATACTAAGTGACATATAAATCCGAACACCCAGTTTAGATGGTTTTATTTTAATAAAAGTTGGTGAATGTATTTATCTTACTGTAAATAACAAGTGAAAACATTTTCAGCCTTATCAGTTGGATATTCGGGTTTTTATACTGCTTTTTTTTAATTCACTAACGCTCTAAAAATGAATATTTCAGCCGCAGTAAAGAATCAACGTTGGCGGATTTGGTTCTTGACATCCTTTACGATCGGTTACGATGCCTAAAGTACGGAGACCTGTACGATTTCGTCAACTTAGTGAGTTTGATAGGGGCCGTATAGTGGGACTTCAGGAAGCTGGACTTTCTTTTCGGGCAATTGCAGTTAGAGTGCAAAGAAGTGTAGACACTGTGGTTAGGTGTTGTCAGGCATGGCTTCGAGAAGGCCGTACGCAAAGAGCAAGCGGCACTGGACGCCGCCGTAGAACAACAGACCGTGAAGATCGCCGCCTAAGATTATTGGCCTTAAGGGACCGTTTCTCCACTACCAGGTCCATTGCAAATGAATGGTTTGCAGAACACGGAAGACCTATTGGCATGCGAAGTGTTTATCGACGAATGATAAGTTTTGGCTTGTTTTCATACCGGCCATACTGGGTCCTCTCTTTAACTCGAGAACACCGACGTAATCGCCTTGAGTGGTGCAGACAACGGTCACTCTGGGATCAGGAATGGAACAGTATTGTCTTTAGTGACGAGTCTCGATTTTGTTTAGGCATGCACGATGGTCGTGCCAGGATTAGAAGGCGACGTGGTGAAAGGAGGACATGTTCATCACACTGTTGGAGTTATGGTTTGGGGTGCTATAGCTTATGGTTCCAGGTCACCTTTAATCTTCATCAGAGGTAACATGAACGCGCAGCGTTATATCCACGAAGTTCTAGAACCCCATCTTTTACCCTATCTTGACACCCTGGCAGATCCAACTTTCCAACAAGATACTGCCCGACCACATGTTGCAAGAGTCACAATAGACTTCTTTCAACATAATGATGTCACATTGTTACCATGGCCACCAAGATCTCCCGACTTATCCCCAATTGAGGACGTGTGGGATATGATGGGTAGGAGATTGCTCAATTTGCAACGTCCTCCTCAGACTCTAGAAGCACTTCGAGAGGAGTTGGTGGTTGCCTGGAATGAGATACCCCAGGAGGACATTGACCACCTGATCAGAAGCATGCCTAGCCGCGTTGGAGAATGCGTAGCACATCAGGGTGCATCCACACATTATTAAAGGTCAAAGGGCTTTAAAGCAGTGCAATCATTTTGAAATTTTTATCATTTACTTATTATGCTTCATTAAGTACTTGTACAAAATTTTATTAAAATAAAACCATTTAAACTGGGTGTTGTCACTTAGTATATGATATATATGTGAGAAAATTATTACAGAATATGCTGCCAATGAAGTATTTTATCAGCTGCGCCGGAAGGGTTTATATGTTGTGCTTTCTGAAGACATTCCACATAAAACTAATGACTTCACCAACCAGGGATGTTCTTTTTTTATCTCTCTCAGTTTTGATATTCAATAAATCTGCATATGTAATTTCCAGAATGAATAAGAAAAACCTATAAAATGTCAAAAAAAATCCAACAAAATGTCACTTTCCGAAATACGTAATACCCATGCAGGACACCCATAGAACAAGTTTAAAAATATGTCTCGAACTTGGGTACCCAGGAAATAACTGTCAACAGCTAAGTGGCAACCAAGGCAGTACTTCTTAAAAGCGGGATCCATCTTGGAAAAGCAGGACGATTCTAAGATTGTGTTACAGTGGAACACCAAATGCATGGGTACGTGACGATATGTACTAAATGAGATGACGGATAACCTTGTCAGGTTAGCATACTGTGGAAGGTTTTGGTGCTTGACCTGGTTCTTGGGTTAGCCCCAAAATGGTTTAGGCCCAAACATAAGAAGATTTATATTAGATACTTCCTGAGGGGGAAATATCCCCTCTCTGCCCCCATTTGGTCTCTGCATTGAGAGCTACCAGGGGGCCTAAGGTACCCAGTAGATACCCTGTCTACTTCTACTGGAATGCCTCTTACCGATTCAATATTTCTTCGGTCAGAGGTTACAATGTTTCCCCTGGAAGTAAAACTAATGAATAAATTCATTATTTACATCTCTCCAGCTGTGCTTTTGGCTACGGCACTGTGAGAATCGTAATTGGTACTGAAAATAAAAACCACACAATAATACACATGCACACATCATTGCACATTGCTTCTTGCTTTTATTCATGAAAATGGAAGTTCCGAATATGGTAGCGACCTCGCTGTTGATCCGTATCAGTCCGATTTGGCTTTCGAATCATTGTTATTCAATTTCTGGGGAATTCCATATACAGGGTATTTTAATTGATAGAATGGTCTACACAGTCTCGATATGATTATATACTAAGTGACATATAAATCCGAACACCCAGTTTAAATGGTTTTATTTAATAAAAGTTGGTGAATGTATTTATCTTACTGTAAATAACAAGTGAAAAAATTTTCAGTCAGCCTTATCAGTTGGACATTCCGGTTTTGTACTACTTTTTTTTAATCACTAACGCTCTAAAATGAATATTTTAGCCGCAGTAAAGAATCAACGTTGGCGCATTCTGGTTCTTGACATCCTTTACGATCGGTTACGATGCCTAGAGTACGGAGACCTGTACGACTTCTCAACTTAGTGATTTTGATAGGGGTCGTATAGTGGGACTTCGGAACGCTGGACTTTCTTTTCGGGCAATTGCAGTTAGAGTGCAAGAAGTGTAAAACTGTGTTAGTTGTTGTCAGGCATGGCTTCGAGAGGGGCCGTACGCAAAGAGCAAGGGCACTGGACGCCGCCGTAGAACAACAGAAACCGTGAAGATCGCCGCCTAAGATTATTGGACTTGAGGTATCTGTTTCTTCTCTTCTCCACTACCAGGTCCATTGCAATGAATGGTTTGCAGAACACGGAAAGACCTATTGGCATGCGAAGTGTTTTACCGACGAATGAGAAGTTTTGGCTTGTTTTCATACCGGCCACACTGGGTCCTCCCTTTAACTCGAGAACACCCGACGTAATCGCCTGAGTGGTGCAGACAACGGTCACCCTGGGATCAGGAATGGAACAGCATGTCTTAGTTGACGAGTCTCGATTTTGTTTAGGCATGCACGATGGTTCGTGCCAGGGTTAGAAGGCGACGTGGTGAAAGGAGGAATCCCAGTTGGAGTTATGGTTTGGGGTGCTATAGCTTAAGGTTCCAGGGTCACCTTTAATCTTCATCAGAGGTAACATGAACGCGCCAGCGTTATACCACGAAGTTCTAGCACCCCTTCTTTTACCCTATCTTGACACCCTGGCAGATCCACTTTCCAACACGACTAATGCCCGACCACTTGTTGCAAGAGTCACAATAGACTTCTTTCAACATAATGATGTCACATTGTTACCATGGCCACCAAGATCTCCCGACTTATCCCCAATTGAGCACGTGTGGGATATGATGGGTAGGAGATTGCTTAATTTGCAACGTCCTCCTCAGACTCTAGAAGCACTTCGAGAGGATTTGGTGGTTGCCTGGAATGAGACACCACAGGAGGACATTGACCACCTGATCAGAAACATGCCTAGGCGCGTTGGAGAATGCGTAGCACATCAGGGTGCATCCACACATTATTAAAGAACAAAGGGCTTTAAAGCAGTGCAATCATTTTGAAATTTTTATCATTTACTTATTATGCTTCATTAAGTACTTATACAAAATTTTATTAAAATAAAACCATTTAAACTGGGTGTTCGGATTTATATGTCACTTAGTATATATTTTTTTCCGTTCTTCATGCCGTCGTATACTTAGTATAAGATTATCCCACGGCAAATTCGGCAA